CCATGGGATTCTGCGAGATTGGGCTGTTAGAATGGTAAAGCCAGCATGGTGGTATTTTGCTCATGGTTCTGCTCACTCTTGGGATGGCCTGTTGACAGTATCATTTTATTCTTTTCTCTTAAAAATTATATTCTTTATAATTCTTTTAGATATTATGATAGTGTATCACAACATTCAATCTTATCAAAGACTGGTAATTTTTACTGCTACTGTTTTTCCTGGTCATTGAAAGGAACTTGTTGGAATATTTAACACCATTTATTACTTTTTCCTGTATTTTGTACTGGTTTTGATTATTTAAATTGCATGTTTATATATCAACTCCTACTGGAACTTATTGACTTATACAGTCAGTATTTACTTATAAGTATCTATTACAGTCACTTTATTGGCTTTCTTTTCTTCTTTCATTTGCATCTTTCCATGAGACCATTTCCTTTCTCCTTGACAAATGACCTTTAATATTCTCATTATTGCAGATCTGCTGTTGAAAATTTTCTTATGTGTCTGAACTTGTCTTTATGTCAATTTAATTCTTGAAAGATATTTTTACTGTTCAGAGAATTCCATATTTGCATTTTTTTTTTATTTTCAGCACTTTGAAGATTTTGTTCAATTGTCTTCCAGTATTTACTGTTTCTGTTGTGAAATTCATTGTCAATCTGGGCCTCCCTGGTAGCACAAGGGATTAAGCACCACACTATGAAGCAGTCCGCATCTTCTGCAGCAAGAGTTCGATCCCTGGCTGGCCAGAGAGACCCACATGGTGAAGCAGACCTCTCCTGTCTCTCCTGCTGCTTCCCTCAGCTGTGTACTTCAGTCAGTCTGCCTGTTTTGTTCCCCATCTGGTCTCTGGTGAATCCTCTCACCCTCCCACACCTCTGTCCTGTACCCCAGCTCTTGTATGCATAAATAAATCTTAAAAAAAAATTCATTGTCAATCCAATAGTTACAGCTGTATAGGTGAAATTTTTTTTTTTCTTCTGGATATCTTAAACTTTCTTGTCTATTTTTCAGCAGTTTTAATATATGCTTAGTCATAATTTTTTGAAACATTTGCTTCTTGAATCTGTGGCTTGATTTTTTTCTGTTTAATATTCTTAATCCATTTTCTCCTGAATATTAGTCCCCTCATTCTGTCTTTGTAATAATTGCACTCCTAGGGATCGACCTGAAGAATGCAAACACTAAATCATAGTGTGTGCACTACTTCTTTGTTTATTGCAGCACTAGGTACAATAGCCAAGTTATGGAAACAGCCTAAGTGCCCAACAAAAGATGAGTAGCTAAAGATGTAGTATATACACACAATGCAATACTACCCAGTTATAAAAAGAGATGAAATCCTGACATTTGCAACAACATGGATGGAACTGGAGGGGATTGTACTGACTTAAGTCAAAAGGAGAAGATGAATTCTGGCTGCTTTCACCCAGGTGAAATACAGAGGACCAAAACAAAAGGAAAGAAAAAAAAACTAAACCTAAACAAAACCTACAAATTTGACTGTAAAATTGAGGATGCCAAAGGGGGAGGGTGGGGTAAGGACAAAGTGGGGAAGGAATCCAAGTAATTATGGAAGACTGGTAGCAATGGTGGTGGGTGTGGTATGGGTGAAGAGGCGTGAACATATTTTCCTAAATCATGTATAGTATTGTAAACCCAATGTTATCAAATAAAAATAATGCAAGTAACAATGTATTTCTTTGTATTCTAAAAGAAATCTATGAATTGAAAAGAGCAGATGAAAGTTAGGAAATACAGAAACAGAACAGTCAACAGCTCACAGCCATCTAGGAAAGGATGAAATTTTATGCCTCGTGACTTTGTAATAACTATGTGTTAAAAGGGGTAATAAATAATGATAATAATAATAAACTATTATTATGCACAGTGACTAGAACTGTAAATCAAAGAATAATCTTCAGATGCATGCAATATGGAAAAGCCTTATATATAACTTTCAGCATTTCTACTTGTCAAGATATTAAGTTGGAAATTATCTTAGAAATAAATGTTAAACTTAAAATAACATTATCTCAGCATGCACTATTACAGTGAAATTTAACTACTGTATATAAGATAATGTTTTTCATCCAAAATCATATTCAGGGAACACTGAGATGAAAAATACATGATTTTTCACTTTATCAATTTTTTTTTAAAGACAAAGTCAAATTCACTTGTAAATATGGACAACTCCCCAGATTTTGAATAGAGATGCTTAAAATCTATTTGTAAGTTGTTTGATTAGAACTTAGAACATATTTTTTCCTCTACACAATCAGTGTTGTAAGCATGGTTAAGTTTCCATTTCTATGCCTCTAAGGCATTTAACAAACATAACTATTGCTTTTATATTGCCAGGGATTAAGTGCTTTACATTGTAACTGTGGCCCTCTGCTTTATGTGACAGAGCAATGGGATCTAAGACAGAGACAACTGTGCCAAACTGATTTGTTTGTTACAGGGAAATTTTCCCCTTGAAAGACAAAACTGAAAACCAAAAAATAACTTCATTATTTGTCAGGACATTATTCCCATATTTTATTTTAAATAAACAATCTGCTTACCTTGGCAGAGCTCACTATCAAGCAACAGGTTAGTTATCAAGACTTGATTCAAGAACTTCACCTTGGTGTAGATACATTATAAAACTATTATGTCATGAACTTTTTAAAATTTATCTGTTCTCTACTGTCAGATGCATGACGGCAAAGATCCACTTTAAACCACCTGATCCCAGATCCCTAGATCCTATAAATGTCTTCTGCTGACATCCCTCTTCAGAGACTGTCAAGATTATAAAGGCAGAGTCCTTTAATATTGCAGTGAATTCTTAGTTTTGCTTTATTTTCAAGTTGTCCAGAGATATTTTGGGCAAGTTTAATAACATATATAACGTTAATGTTCATAAAACAGCATAATTTCTATTCTTATGTTTTTATAGATGAGAAAACTGAGGCATACTGAAAAATTGTTACATACCAAAGAACATAAAGCAATTTAGCTCACATAAATAAACTATTGCATTAATATTACAGTGGTACCTCCCTGAGTCTACAGATTTGAAGACATCCTGAAGAATCCCATCCTCTTGTCCTCCTGAGCCTGTAATTATTTATTTAGGATTCTAATTGCTTGTATTGCTTACTGAACCATGAGCTATTTGAGGATAGGGACATATCTTGTTTGTCTCCATAGTGCTAGTGACTATCAGAATCTTGGAAACATAATAGACATTTAATATGTTTCCAAAATGTGTATTAATGAAACTGCACTTTACACATGAGGTTCTGAGATATTGACAGTCTTGCTTTCACTCAGAATTGGTGCTCCCACCAATGCATCACATTTTTTTTTAGCTTAACTGTAAATGAACTCTCAAAGATCGGTTTCTATCAGATAAGACTACAAATATTGCATTAGAGATTCATGTGTATAAAGTTGCAGCCCTTTCAAAATGTATTTTTTGCTTATTTGTGAAATATCATCTCAGTGTGATCACAGAGACCATCTCATGAATATTAGGTGAATGATACATGATTTATTAGGAGAAATAAATATTATATAAATGTTTGTCCACCAAGAGAAAGTTTAAAATTTTACCTAGCAGGTAAATTATGAAAGTAGGTTAGAATGGTTTTCTGAGCAGCTTCTAAAATAGCTGCTCATATAGCAAACAATATGAGGAAATAAACAATGTAAAGAGACACATCAACCAAATGTAAATGTGAGAGCCCTGTTTGATCCTGAATAGAACAAACTGAGATAAAAGAATTTCAAGCCAAAAAGTGAACTGTAAATGAGGATAAGTCAGAGAGATGTCAACCATGGAAAAAATCTTAAATTTAGAAATAGAAAATAAAATATATGAAATAATAAAATGCCTGAGACTTGCTTAAAAATTCCCTAATGGGGATGGTTGTGTGTGGACAGTGTGTGTGTGTGTGCATGCTCATGTAGGTACAGGTAAAACAGGATCGGTAAAATGTTGATCATCGTTAATGTTCGTATGCATACAAATAGTATTCATTATACTCTACTTTCCACTTCTAGATGTGTTTTTTATAACACCATATTTAAATGACATTTCCATAATAAAAAGTATAAAAAAGGCTTATTTCTCAGTATTGTATAGCTTTAGAAACTACCAAATCACTCATATATATATATATATATATATATATATATACACATATTGGTTGCAAAATCAATATTATCATTGCAACCCAATGTAAAAAATTATTGTCATCTGTGGATTGATTCCAAAATTTAAGAAAGCAGCTACTTTTTCTGCTTGGGAAAATTTTATATAGTCTCTAGATGAACATTAGGGAAGCTTTTTCCATCTGTCATCTCTTCTATGTGCATTAGAAACCTCAAGTTCTCTGTTAGTGAAAGGAGCCTGTACCACACTGGGCTGAGTGCTGGCCTCACATTCACTCTTTTTCTACTCAGATTGGCTTTTTACAGAACATAATGTGCCATTAAGTGCAAGCCCATCATTTTATTTTAATAAGATAAATAGCCTCAAGAATCCTTTAAGTGAAAATCTCATTTATAAGATGGATATTTCTTTAAGGGTATAGAATACATTTTCTCACAAAACTTACATTAAAATGCAGTGCAAAATACACTTTATATTAGGAATTTTTTATGTCTGGCCTGGTTCCTGGGTATTTCTTTCCTTTAAATGTGGATTTTTCCCTCTGATAATGTGGAATATCCTTCAAAATGTGGAGAAAAATGCAAATGATCTTCAGTACCAACTAAATTTACTATAACTATATTTTCCATTTTTTTTAAGTCTACAAAAATCAAAATATGGTGTGTAGCAAATATCAAGTATCTAAAATACTAAACATGAAACAAGGTTTCAATTACAACGTCTTATCGACATACTGGCTCAGGGATGCAGGTTAATCCTTTACAATATTATCACAGATTCTAAATTTTATTAATACATGCTTAGACAATGCAAAAAGAGATTATGGCACTTTGTTGTTAGCTGTTCTTGTTTATTTAAAATATGTAGCAAAGATTTTCCAATATTTACATAAAACTGACATAAATGTTTAGAAAAGCACTATTAGCAATAGATCTCCCAAAAGATACATCTAATAATCTCCTTCAATTCAAATCATTGCTGTTTCTTCAGAGCAATAACAGCGTAACATCTGGGAGATTTCACAGGATCAAATAACTTCACAAGCGCAGACCATGCAATATCTTCCTGCAAATTGACAGGTGATTTAAGGATACAAAAATTCATTAAAGATAAAAACAAGAGATGGTTCAGGCTATTTTTTGTAACATAAAAACTACATAAAAACAAGCTATATATAAAGAAATTATTCTTTGTTAAATAAAATTACTATTTACAATTTCATTTTAACAAATTTATGTAAGGAAACAAGGATCTATGCAGAGAGTCAATTACAAGGGTACTCTTTGCTGTGATTGTGAAAAACTGTAAGTATCTAATAGCAATTATTTATTATTTAAGTGAATTATAATATAATTTTCAACTTCTATAGCACAAGCATTTTTCAACTTCTATAGCACAAGCATTTTTCAACTTCTATAGCACATTTAATGAGATGTACAAATACAAAATGAAATAAATAAAACAAATTAGATACAATTTGTTTCCAGTTTTAAAGTACAAGCAATGTGCGCATACATATACATGCAACATATATATATTACAAAAAAGCACTAGAGAACATACCAGAAATCTAATAAAGATGGAATTATTGTTACTTTTAATTTTTTATATTCTTCATTTTGAACTTTCTATTAACTATCACCTTTACAACAAAAAATTAAATATTAACAAATTAACATTTGTATGATTCTGTCACTTCATTACCAATCCATTAATCCTTAAGCATATTGTTTTGCCCACCTGCTTTATTTATGTTAATAGAAATTGTTTTAAAAAGGGATGATGATTACATAGTTAACTAGGCCTAATTTTGCCACCTACCAACTTGGAAACCAAAGTTTTCCAGTGATTTTGGTGGAAACATAGGAAAATACACTATTACCTAAATATTTAAAAAATTCTTTTCGGCATAAAATAAATATAGGAAAAAAGCAACCAACTATCAAAAGCCATTGTCTCAAGTAGCCTATTAAAAAGAAGAATGTAAAATTCTCCATATGATAAAACAGAATCACTAAAATACACATTTGGAGTAGAAACATAAGGCTATATCCATGAATGAGGTTAATTCTAATAATTCATAAAACTTTATTTTCATCACAGCACAGAGTGGAATGTATAAAACATATTTTCCCTAAAGAAAACCAAATAGAAAATTATTTTTCATACAACACAGAGAAAATTGTAAAAAAATAGACAATTTTCATTGATCAGAAAGTTTTTATACTGCAGAATGCATATATCCAAAAATCCAAGGTGAACTGAAAGGCAAATTCTTACAAGATGAACTGTATATATGATATCTTTTATGTCTGTTATTTATTAATTTTAGCTATATAGTATGTCATATAGGATGGTTTGTATTCACTGCCTACTGTATAGTAATTACCACACAATTAAAGAACCTAACTTTATTGCAGTTCTGTGGAAAACATCTGTTGTACATATGTTTATGTTTTAAAAAAAGATGGAATGAATATTTAAACTTGGAAAATATAATAAGAAAAATGATCTTACTAGTTTTATGTGATAGAATTTTAATATAAGTGAATCCATATTAGTGGATTTAATAAACATATCTGTTATACATTTAAAAGTAACATAATTACCTGCTCTTTTAGGTAGCAAAGTCGATCCAGAAGAATCAATGTCTCTATACAAGGAGCCAGAACAACTTTCAACTAAGAAAAAGAATAAGAGGCTGAGGATGGTGGTACTTAAAAGACTAGCTTAATCCTAATGTATAAGAAAATGTATCTATAGAAATTTATATGAGGCCAACTCTCCAATAACTGCTGCATACTTCAGAAAATTAACAGAGCAGAGATCAAAAGTTTCTCTTCAACAATAATAGGAAAAGAATGTCCTTTGAATGACTTTGAGGTAGAATCCAAAAGCGATCTTACATATGTGATAGAAAGCTTTTAAAGGGGCACTAAGAATGAAATTCATTAAAAGGAATGCTTGTGAAATAACTGCATTGAGACCAATATGTGTTCAAAGCACTCTGAAATTTCTTTCTGTGCGTTTATAATACACTTTAAGAGAAATCTACCATGTGTTCTCTTTACTACATTACCAACACCTAATATAGTTCTGAAATAGGAAATGATCCAAAACAGTTTTTCTACAGTAAGAGAAAAAACAATATAGATTGGTTGGCTCCATAATAAAATTTAATAGGACCCTATTCAAATCTAGTAACATATTCAATTTACTATCTTTAATTCTGAGATTTACCATATTAAAAGCTTCCAGTTCATTCATTCTAGGTTTATACTTCTCATAGTAGTCCATTATGATTTTTTCAGGCAGCTTCAAGATAAAACAACAACAAAAGTAGTAAATATAACAACAGTTAAAAAATATTTTTCTTATTTAAACATATCCTAAAGTACATGTAACAATTTAAAATAAACTTGGGTATCTGAAGAACTCTATGGATATTCATGAAAGCAAATTAATGTAACTCTAAATTCATTGAAATATTTTGCACCGAGAATAGGTTATTCAATATATCACAAATAAAATTACCAACAACACCCTATTAATATTATTTCATTTCAACAAGTTAGTGATTCAATATTTACTTTTACTTGGGATATATAACAGGAATTCAATAAACATTTTTTGAATGAAATAAAGATTTAAAATAAGATATCTAAAACTACCCTAGAAAATAATTCAAAGATACAAGACAATAAGGACATAAATTTATCTTTAAGGTAATTTTTTCTAACATCCATTTAACAAATCCATCACATAGATTACTTTCCATTCTTTCTCTAAAACTTGATACTCACAGTGGAATAGTTCATTTCTATGACAATGACTTCTGTGCAGAATTAAAGAAAAGATTTCCCCCTTGGTACAGAGCCCATGCAAATTAAGCCACTTCCCTTCTCAATACTTAGAGAATTTTCTCATCTTTGAATCAAATAAAAGTCTCCAGGACATTTTTGCAGAAAAGTATATTGGACAGCATCCAGGTATGCACTTCAAGGCAGCAAAAGATTCTCATCTTGCATAATTGTGTGTGTGTTTGAATTACAACCATTAGTCTTTACTTCTCTTCTACCACCCTGTCAGCAGTTACAGGACAACTTAGAACTCACTCTGTATTCTTTTCCGCCTCACCAGCATACCTTTTCCAACAAATATGGCTTCTCAGTGTGACTCCTTGGGTTCTCCAATATCCAGTTTCTCATTTGTGCCAAACTAGAAAGCATCATCCTGGCCACGGGGCAAACTATTTAACAATAGTTTTAATAAAGCATCGCTAGAGGGATGAACTATTACAGTTACATAGGTGTAAGTAGGGTAATACTTCTTTAATGATGTGATCTGATACAGGGATGGGGCCTGGCTATCTAGGATTTGTATGGGGGGGTAGGTCCATGAAAGTCAGGAATGGGGTTTAGAGCAGTTTTCTGCAGTTAATGGGGCAAGACCAAGAAATCAGAGGGCAGTCATGAGATACTATAGATAATTCAAATGGAATTGTTGGGGATTCAAGGTCACATTCCAAAGTGATGTGGTTGGAACTGAGATATAATCACTAAGCTTGACAGGTACAGGCTGGGGAATTATCATTAAGAATCAGGACTCTGCAGGGCCTCCCCTGGTGGCTCAGCGGTTGAGCGCTGGGCTGCTAGGCTGCCCGCAGCCTCTGCAGCGTGGGTTCGTTCTCCAGCCGCCGGCGAGGGTCCCACAAAAAAAAAAAAAAAAAAAAAGAATCAGGACTCTGCAGAGAACTCAAAAATCCACAGTAGACAGCTAGTGTAATCTCCAGGCAGTGAGCAGAAGAGAAAGCACTAAAATTGAATAAAGGGGAAAACCAGAAACTTAAAAGCCAAAAGATGAAGCCGTGGTGGGAGACAGTGATAACAGCAGGTCACCAGAGGCAAAGGAAAGGAAGAGTCTGAATTCTCACATAGAAAAAGCTCATGCACTTTTTGACTCGTTAACAGGATGCTGTTTAAGCCTCCCCAAACTCTGAAATGCAGTGCCTACCGGAATGCATGAATGAAACTGCACATGTGCATGTAACCATGACCAAAGTTTCCTAACGAGGAGTGTCTGAAGTGTTCAAGCACTTGAACAAAATACTTATAGTCCTGCAGTTCTGTCACATAGAGCATCAAAGTGTTCCACCAGATACAAAATATTAGGAAAATGACATTCTTTTGCAAGGAAATGAACTTTTCAGAGCTTTCAAGTCCTGGTACAGGAGATAAGAACTAATTAGTCTCTGCAAGGGAAATAATTTTCTGCTTAGTTCCCAAAACACTGATTTCTAAATCAATTCCTTGCGACTTTTTTTCCTCTTCCAATATCCACTGAAATTTCAGGATAACCTTCCAATTAATTTTCTCTGAACTTTCTTTTCTTTCTTTTTTTAAATACCAGTCTCCTAAATAAAACTGGGAACTTGAGCTTAGTTTAGGAAATTAATTATCACACAAGAAGTTTCATATTCATTGTGTTTTTACAATGGACAATCAGGAAACAAATAAGAGAGGGTCTGCCACAGTAGTTTTAAAAGAAACTACTTGATATGTATCTACTGCTATAGGTTTATGCTATCTTGTTCTTCATGAGAGATGTCCTAATTATCATTGTAAATCCAGTGTTTATACTGTTCTTGGCACAGCGGGGCGTCTTCAAAATAAATGAACAGTTACATTATGCTGATTTCAAAAGTCTTGCTTTTGCTTGCCTATTTTGGAAAAATACCTAAAAATATTTTTTTGAATGACCCTCTATCTACTTCCACCAACATTCTAGCTTAATGTGTTTTCACTTTCACCCATTCAACAATACACCTCCCCATTCTTATAGTTATCAGTTTTAATGTCCTCATTTCAGTTCCCAATATTAAAAATTAACTTCATTTATTTGAGTATTCATTACATGTGTATAATACAAACACATACACACAAACTCTAGAATATACCTTTATATTTCCCTCTTCTTATGGACAAGTACTCCAGCTTACTCACTGTCTAACAAAATAATACTAGTACTAATGCCTTTAAAATCCTATGGATGTGTGTTTTTGTGTGTGTACAAGCACACATTTGTGTGCATGCAGTATGTACATGAAGAAGATGATGGAAAGAACAGTTACATAAATGGACAAAAGTAAATAAAATGGTGTGGAGCAATAAACACAGGGGTGGCAGCAGTATTTACAATAGCCAAGCTTTGGGAGCATAGTAAGTGCCTCCAACAGATGACTAGATTAAGATGTGGTATATATACACAATGATGAATACTACTTAGTAGGATTTTATCTTTTTTGATAAAATCATACCATTTTCAGCAACAAGATGGATAAGCCAGAAGAAAGATAAATAGTGGATGGTGTCACTTATATGTGGAATATAGAGAAATCAAACAAAGGGGAAGAAAAAGATAACCCTGAAAACCAACCTTTGAAAGCTGACCATAGAACCAAGGTATCCAGAGGGGAAGGAGAGAGTGGAGAATAGGGTGGGGAGAGAGCACAATGGACTATGGTAAAGGACTATGAGGACCTTGTGGTGGGTAGGCTATGAAGACAACACTAAAAGGGGAGAGATCATCCTATACTTCCAAAAATATTAGCAATTATGTAAACCAATAGTGCTACAATAAAAAAAAAAAAGAAAGTTAAAAATAAATAAAACTGGTACAGACTGTGAAGAAAACATAAAACTTTAAAGGCAATTTTTTGAAGGCTTTCTGAAATTTGGTGAGATGACAATGTTTGGGACACAAGATAAAATTTGAGGATATTTGGTGAGATGACAATGTTTGGGACACAAGATAAAATTTGATAAAATCATACCATTTTCAGCAACAAGATGGATAAGCCAGAAGAAAGATAAAATCATACCATTTTCAGCAACCCATTGCAATGGCAAATGCTTGCTTTTAGCTCTATATTCTTCCTTTTACCAGGATGTCCTTTTAATCATCAGAATTTTATTTTAGATATTTATAAATATTTATATATTTATTTTAGATATTTATAAATGTTAAAGCATTTTACAAAGAACATATGAACAAGTAAAAATTTGAGCACCGCAATAGTTTATTGTAAGAAATCCATCTGTCATAAACCATGTACTTGGTGATACAAAATAGTGAAACAATATATCATTGTTGGTGATACAGAATTAGGATGAGCTTTACTATGGAATCTAAACACTCTTCTTAAACAGATCTATATATGATGTAAGGCTGGGACAATATTATCCCTAAGTGGGTATAATTGTACAAAATGAAAGGTCAAGGAGGAAATCATTTTGAATAAAATGTTTTCGACATGTGAGAACAGAATCACTGCTTCTTCCCCCTTCCCCTCTCCATGCTTCTTGATGTAACATGTGAAATGACATTAAAAAAAAAAAGCAAACCAAAAAACATGGGGTTTGTAATGGAAATGTTAGATAATTGCAAATAGAATCACTAAGATGGCAAATGCTTGAAGACAATAGATTTCAACTGGGGGTGATTTTGCCATCCTGGGGCATTTTTGGCAATAACTGGAGGCTTTTAAATTTAATTTTTTGTTCCCTATTAGTGGGTAGAGACTACATCCTACAATGCTCAGGACAGTCCCCCACAACAGAAAATCATCAAAATGTCAACAGAGCTGAGTTTAAGAACTCCTGCTCTAAGAAAATGCTCAGTGTTGTCATTTCATTGACTGTAGGATTTATGGATTCACTTTATTTATTTATTTTGTTTTTATAATTATTTTTATTTAGTTTATTGGATTTTTAAAATATTTTATTTTATATAATTCTTACATCATTTTTCACCTTTGCACAATGTATGCATTTTCATTTTGGTTATATTCCCCATACAATTGCACCCCCCCCCCTTATTTTGACTCTAGTCCTTCCTCTCCAGGCCCCTCCTTGCCCACCCCCCAACCACCCCCCCAGTCTGGTCTCTGGTTTATAGTTGCTTGTTGATTTTGATTTTTACTTTGTATTGATTAGTCTTTTTCCTGGTCTCTTATTTAGGTTTTCTAAATTCCTGCTATGAGTGAGACCATCCGATGTTTTTCTTTTTCTTTCTGACTTATTTCACTGAGCATGATCCCTTCTAGCTCCATCCATGTTGCTATGGATTCACTTTTAAGCTGCATATGAACCATTTATTATATATCTAGCATCTTCATCTTTTTTTTCCTTTGGAATGATGGTTTAGAAATGTTCCCTTTTTACCTCCATATGTTTAATGTGATTTCTTGCGACTAAGAATTTATACAGAGGATGTTAGGAGATTTCTAGCTACTCACTTGTTCATAGTTTTAAATATGAAGAGATGTGCTTTAAAAGGTCAGAAACATGTCAATGCATTCACCCCATTCAATTATATATGAAGTTTGTGAATAACTGAATATGAATTTAGTCAAAGATCTTTTAAATATTCTGGTATACTGAATAATTTAAATTTAAATGTTATTGCTATTTTCAGAATCCCATGTGAAAACTAATTTCATTTTTTTTAAAGATTTATTTATTTATGCATACAAGAGCTGGGGTACAGGCTGGAGATGCGGCGGGGTGGGGCGGTGAGAGGATTCACCAGAGACAGAGTGGGGAACTGAACAGGCAGACTGATTGAAGTACGCTGCTGAGGGGAGCAGTGTGTGAGTCAGGAGAGGTCTGCTGTGCCATATGGGTTGCTCCCTGGCCAGCTGGGGATCAAACTCATGCTGCAGAGGCTGCTATTGCTTCATAGTGTGGTGCTTAACCCCTTGCACCACCAGGGAGGTCCGAAAATTAGTTTCATTTTTAAAACGGAACTATACAAAATCTTTTATGTATTTGTGGTTAAAAATTTCATTTTAGCACTGTTGCATCCTGATGTGGGAGAAAATGATAAGATTTTCATGCTGTATTGGTTGAAACAACTTTGGATTTTCAAAAGCACTCATTTTCCAATTACTCTGGTCCAACAGACACAACTGTCCCAATTTCTCTCACTTAAAATTAAAACCAAAACAAAAAACCCTAAACATATACTTATCTACAATCTTCCTTTTACCAGGACATCCTTTTAAACATCTTATTATGTTTTTCTGTCCCCTTTCCCCCAATATCTTATAGCTTGAGCTTCTTAGTCCTTTCCTTTTTCTATTTTATTCAACATATTTGTTAAATGAGCATATAGTTACGTGTGACATGTACATACTATACATGCTATATAAGCTCATCTGTTATGAGCATAAACAGTATTATGAGAAAGTCAGGAAGACACTACTAATACTGTCTCTATTAATAAAGGTAATCATTTAATACTGATTTTACAAGCACATGCTTACATACATTAGTCTTTTTTTCTTTTAACTTTAACTACTCAGTATAGTGGAGATTATTAATTGAGATTTGGTATTAGTTGAATCTATGTTCAATTTCCAGCTCAGTTACCACTTGCTAGCTCTTTGACATTAAAAAAAATGACTTGCCTTTTTCTAAGCTTCTCTTTTTAGATTATTACATTCGGAATAATGAAAGTATCCATGGTAAGTGTTTCTCGTAAACAGTGAGTGAGATAAAACTGTGATGTCCATAAATAACAGCTTTTCCCTGTATTAAATGTTTAGTAAATATTAGACATCATTAATATGCTAATGAGCACTATAAGCATATTAAGGAATGTTTATTAAGGCTTTAATGGACAAACCTGTGTAGAGAAAGACATTAGGAAGGATAAACAACATTCTTCCTAAATTTCTACTGTTTAGATTTTGGCAATGAAATGATATGCTGTGAGTTTAACTAAAAACTCAGCTCTTTGTGAAAATTATGTTTACATTTGTGCTCTTAATTTAAAAGACATGAAGATTGAGACATGCAAACAAGTTATATACTAAAATTAATTAGAAGGAAAGTCAGTCTGATTTGTTAAAATACATTTTTTAACAAATGAGAAATAGAATAACTAGGATAACTAAGTCTATTCTCAATCACTTATGCAACAGCAGGAGGGACTTCATTGTTGTGAATAATCAAAATTATTTATAGGAGTTAAATTAATTGTATTATTATAAATCATACATATATACAAAGGTCAGAATAATAGAAACTAGTGCTATTTAGTTAGCCTTTACTATGCACAAACATTGTATTCAGGGTTTTTCATAAATAACCCTGATTTTCCTAAATCCTATGAGATAGGAATCTCTTTTTTAAAGGCCATTTTATTGGGAGAGAAAAGTGATTAGTACCAATCTTATTGCTTCAGTAATAAAGTAACTGGGGACTAACTAGTTAATTGGTACAATAAATAATAATACTACTCTTTAGTTTTGATATACTTAATCATGTTTGTGTTACTTTTTGAAGAAATTCATTTCTTTAACCACCTGTTTTATTTTTTGTTTCAATTCACAATCAATTCAAAATATCAGAGTGATTCAAGATCACCTTAATATTTTAGTTAACAACTCATTTGAATCATGTTGAGAATTTAATTTGTTCTGTGTTAGTTTATTATCAGTAGTCACTGTGTTTTTTTCGGTCATCAACAATATGTTCTCAATTATTAGGTTGGGCCTCTATGATGTTAGTATCAATTTCCAGAATTCTCCCATTTCAAAAGCTTTTTGAATTTAAAATTTTATATTTTCATTAGTTACACAATTTTAAATAAACAAGATTCAAAATTAAAAGTTTTTCTTTTGCATTACTTACAATTTCCATCTTGCTCTTTAAAACTCTATTTTGATTTGAGAATTGGCACATTTTTGCCTGAATAAACCTAAGTGAAGACGCTCTCTGAAGGTGTATGACAGTCAACTATACCTACAGACAGGAAAACTGACCCAGTAAACTTAATGGGGGCTTGGTTTCAATATAATTTAGCATGTTTTTCACAAATGGGAGAAGAATAGAAGGCAAAGAATTTTGATTACCTCAAATTATTATTACTTCATAGAAGTTGTTTTTTAATGAAAATATAGGTGATTATATACTGACCTTGGACTCATCTAATCCAAGCTTCTTTAGAGACTTTCTGACATAATCCAGAAAGGAAGAAGATTTGGAATAAATTTTACCAACATGTCGATCACTGCAAAACACAAGTGAATTGCTTTTTATTTTTTCTAATTTAAATTACAGATTTTAAGTTCAATCATGAAATATTTTAAAATACCTTCTGTGTATAGGGCACAAGCACTAGATGTGACAAAAATGAAGCAATGCTTTTGTGAATATTTCAAAGTAACATATTATAAAATATTCAGAATCTGCTTCTGAGAATTCTTTCAACATACAACAGTAGAACACAGTATTATGAAGACAATAATATAAGAAAGAAATTGCAAACTTAAAGTATTAAAAAGCCTCATTTTAAAAGGGAATTATAGGTCTTTCAAAAGTTTCCATTGTGGCACAAAACACATTTAAATTTTACTGGCTCAATATTACAGTGCACATTTCATTGCAACACCTGCTAATAGTGGTGATAATTCAACAGCTACGCAAAGAGAACTTCAATGCCAGCCATTGAACATATGCTGAGTTGGGTCTGACTTGATTTCATTTGTGCCATGCGGATTTTTATTATGCTTTAAATAAAATATCATGAGATGGTTTTGAATTTAAATAATGCAATACTAGACTATCACATCTCACAATTTTGGTTTCTATTTAGGTGTAATGTAAAATTCCATGGAATTAAAAATTCACTACCTCCAAGTTATCAAATAAATATTAATTGCATAAATATTATCCCTATGATTAATTAGCATGGAATGTTATCAATTCCTCCTTTGAAATACACATCAAATATACTTCTTCAGCTTTATTTCTAAAGGGCCACCTCAATTCTACTATTAGCTGCGTTCTGGTTATTATAGCACTTCCCAATTAAGACTGGTGTCTGCACCTTCTATTTTGCCTACATTGTAATATTTTCTAAGAGGAATATTTTTATATACAACTTCTCGGCTCAAATAGACTTTCACTCTATCGCTCATCTTTTAGGATAAGGTAAACAATCAAGGCCAATACCTTCTGAATAGAACCACATTTTTCCACTATATCCCAGAATTCAGTTTTTCCTACTCATTATATGACTGTCCTCCAGATTTCTGCCTTGATGATTTGCTCATGTAGTCATTTCCTAATAGATTTATGAGGTTCTTCATCCTTTTCCTCAGCTTACTAAAATCAGAGTCACCCTTTATGATCAAGCTCAAATACTTATTTTTCATAACATGATTAATAATAATCTTTTCTAGTTTTGCATGTCAACAGACCTTATCCTTCCTCCATTTATTTTATGACAGCCTTGAAAGAACAGTCATTCAAATGAGTGGAAGTTCCAGGAAGCAGAAATTATATTCTTATATTTTATATAATTCTTAAGCCCTATACATACTTACGTATCTTATGTATAATAGATAACATATAATAGCTATGTACATCTAATGTATCATAGAATACTGAATTGGTTAACTATGTAGTCAGAAAAAGATACCCTTTAATATTAACTTCTTGCCTCTCCTCTTAAAAAGGTTTTAAGCCTTTTCAATGTTTTTAATCCAAAGAGAAAAACAAGCAATTATTTCCCACAAACAATGATTCTAGTTCTTATTTTGAACTATTCATCACTGCCCAATGGAGTCATTCAAGAGAGAAAGCACTGCCTAGTAGATAAAGAGTGTTGTTGCTGTATTCCTACTAGCTCCTAGTTTCAAAAAAATGGGATGTATTAGAATTATAGTTTGGAATCCATATTGATTACAAAGCTGAAAGAACAAAAGTAAGCTGTTCACAAGTACTAACCATTCTAAGCTGAACAGAGAATATAGTATAAGTGGTACCAATTTGTTTCTTGGGTTTTGAAAGCTAAGAGAAACATCTTAAATTTTAATTTGCCCTTGTCTTACTCTTTCTATTCAGAGTATATTACCTTTTGCTGTTTCAAAAATCTCACAGCACAATTATTAGGCAACAGTTTACCTAATACAGATTTTTATTTAAGTCCTATGTTAATGTGGACACTTCTATACCTGTTTTCAGCAACAACAAAACAACGAATAGAAACTAGAAATATAATTATTTGATCATGTTACTTCTCTTCTTTAAAGACCTCTGGAGCTTCCTAGTATTCTGAGGATTAAGATTTAAACCCTAACATAGTACATAATAAGCCCTGTACCATCTGGTCTTCTCTCAACCTTTCTAACACTATTTTATGATATTGCCTCTTCATAGCAAAGGCATTCTTTCAGTTTCTTTGAACATATCAAGCTAACACTATTATTGTAGCAATCCACTCTTGATCCTTTTCTGTAGGAAGTCTCAAATTTCTCCTTTGGGATCCTAACTCAAAGGCTGCACCCAGAAAGCCTCTGGCCTTCGAGATGAAGTTAGGCCTCCATCACAAAACTTTCTCTTCACATAATTCCCTCTTTTCTGGTTCTCCATCTTCCTTGATATTTTAAACCTGTGGACTCCAAAGGGAGTGATTACACTTTAAGGGAAAGAGAATATCAGAATTTTTAATTCTTTTTATTTATTTTTTTAAAAAGATTTATTTATTTATGCATACAAGAATGGGGGTACAGGCCAGAGGTGTGAGAGATGAAAGGATTCACCAGAGACAGACTGGGGAACAGAACAGGCAGATAGACTGAAATACACTGCTGAGGGGAGCAGCGGGCAAGTCAGGAGAGGTCTGCTGCACCATGTGGGTATCTCCCTGGCCGGGGATCGAACTCATGCTGCAGTGGCTGCAAAAAGCTTCATAGGTTGCATCTTAACCTCTTGCGCCACCAGGGAGGCCCTCTTTTTATTTTTACCTTCACCTTTTTAATTTTAATTTTTGAGTTTTTCACTACAAACAAATAGACATGAATAACATGTCTCAATAAGTATTCATTTTAGGGGTGTGCTCAAAAATGTTTATTGATAGAGGCATGAAATTTGAAAATGCTTGAGACACTACCTTGAGCAGCTGGAGAACAGAGTGCTACCAGTTTTGCTCTCAACTATATCCCCTGTGTCTGCATGGTACCTCACACATAGCAGTATTTCAATAAATAGATTAAATAAAATAATAAATGACTTCTCTGCTTGTAAGACAAAACATCTCATTAAACTATAACAGGGAAATGTATTCAGATAGTAAATAGATCTATTTATTAAGTGAGAAGACAAGCATATTGGAAGATATATATAGAGAACTACTGAAAAATACATATAAAGAAAAGTGCAATATAAGCAAGCAAAACACCTCAGATTTCATGTTTCCTATGTACTAGAGCTTCTTAAACCCTTTGCTGCATGTACTCCTTTAATTCTTATGACAATCCCCCATTATAGGTTCCACTATTATTTCCATTTTAGAGATGGATTTTATTTCCACAAAGAGATTATGTAAACTGCCCAAAGTTTGAATCCAGGATGTCTGGCTTCAGAATCTGGGCTATTAACTACTAGTTAACATTACCTTCCATATATTATTTCAGGAGGATTCACATTAAATATTGTTAAGTTGCAGATGAAGAAAGCCCACTTGGTGTTGCACGCAAACAGAAGTAGGCAGATTTCACGACACCTGAGAAGACTATATGTGTATATTCTTAACAACACACAAGGTAGGCCCTCCTGCTGTACTTAAGGACAAGGAGTTTTAGTGCTTTGGTGCAATATAGGAAGTTCAGTAATTCTAATAAATAAAAACTTTTATGGGAGGAGGGACAAACTTGTAGTAGGTTATTTTTTTCTTTCTAACTCATCTACTGCTTGACATTCAGCCTAAACCTATTAGCAGTTGGGGCCAGTGAAAAGGATTTAGAGTCTTCCTAAATGGAATTCATGTTAATTAGATCATTCATTTACTCATCTTACAAAATTTCTTTAAATGCTATATAAGCCTGATACTTTATGTGTAGTATATAGTATATAGATAGTATCTAGCGATAAGCATAGGTTTTAAGCTCAAGCCCGCAATGAGCTTGAATCCTCAATCTACAACTTAATACTAATATGACTTTTCCTTTCCTTATTTACCAGGGGCATGGAGTTTTATTTTTTTTTTTAAGATTTATTTATTTATTTATACAAGCACTGGGTACAGTCAGAAGCGCGGGAGGGTGAGAGAATTCACCAGAGCCAGAGCAGGGAACAGAACAGGCAGACTAACGAAATACACTGCTGAGGGGAGCAGCGGGCGGCAGGAGAGGTCTGCGCGCCATGTGGGACCCTCGCCCGGCAGCCGGGGATCAAACCGGCACTGCAGAGGCTGAGGGCAGCTTCGCAACCCAGTGCTCAACCGCCGCGCCACCAGGGAGGCCCGGGCATGGAGTTTTAAATCTATGTCAGACAACTGAAGATAAAATAAGATACTCTTATGTACAGTGTCTGGCACTCAAAAAATGGTGGTTATTTTCCTGTTATGAGCTGGGTTTTCAGGAGTAAAATCATCCACAGTTTATAAAAGATCTTTCACAGTTTATAAAAGAAGATAGGTGAACAAATGTTGCAATCCAAGGTGGTGAGTACCTGAGTGTGAGCACCATGATATATAGCACAAAGTACAGAGCACTTTCACTACCTGGCATTCACTAGGGGAGGACTAGTCATCAACTACCATAGCAATGGCAATAGGGTTATAAAAAGATTCAGATCATAATCTAAGGTTTTGTGTCCTAAGAATGAGAACTTTTTCTCACATGAACCACAGAAATGGTCTACTTTTAATCAAGCACACTATCTGAAAAGGTGCTGTATTAGAAAAAAAAAAAAAAAAAAAAACACAATTGGATTAGGGGTCAGAAGACCTAAATTTGAACTATTGCTTCTGCAAACAAATCACCTCTCAGAGTCCCAATTTTCTCTCTGAGAAAATGAGGTGAAATGGAAGTAACAACTACTTCACAGGGCAACAGAAAGATGTAACTGAGATAATGTATACGGAGGATAAACTATAAAAGGCTACAGAAATGTAAAGTAGTATTTATTTTGACAATATAACTATGTTGGTGTTTTTTAGAAAGTATCTAGAGTTGTAAAAGTTCTGGTTTTACTTAAACTAGAGTAAAAGAGGTTTTTACTTAT